GGGGGGGGGGGGGGGGGGGGGGGGGGTCCCGGCGTAACCTAGCAAACCAAGTGCCCAAGTACCCGCACCGTGATAGCGACGAATACGCAAGGCACGACAATATCAACAGCCCGAGGCAACGTCTGCACAGAGAGGAAAGAAAACAAACCAAGTACCACCCATTCTATGTGATTTTGCGGCATTCACCATCGTGGAATCGGCAACACAGGCGGGATCGACGGACGGTGCAACACGACAACCAAGCAGCAACGACCGACCTGCTGCACGTGTAACGCCTATTTAAGGGACACCAGCAATAAAACAGAACTATCGCTGACTCTATGGGTTCATTGCTAATATATCTTAGACTCTTTTATTCGATAGAGATTGATTCGTCGGGTCATACTGATGGAAAAAATAAATAAGGACAACCCCCGCTTTATGGACACCACTTTCTTCAGAAGCATGTGCCCCGCAGACTGTAAAAACACTACAGGGAGGGGGGATGTTCTCATAGTCGTGCATGCCGTAGTCGTTAGACCATTGACCTCGCATCCCTACAAAGCCGGGACGGAGCACGCCGGGTTCTCACCGGACCAGGCTCTCACATCACCAAGCGCGAAGCGCCGTGAGATATTCGGCGAGTCGCATGAAGGGTGCGCTGCATCCTGCTAAGGGTGTTCGGCATCTTGTGCTTACTTCCTTGCGTACGGATGACAGCTGCGTATGAATTAATTTATTTTCTGGTGCTTTCACTTCCAGAGACAGTTGTAAGCACTGTGTAACTGCCTTGAGGGTGTTTGACCATTTCAACACAACGCGGTGCGATCATCCCCCTTGCGCGGAGTGAGGGTTCTCCACCCCGCACAACATGATCTACTCGACCACCATCATGGTTACCGCCAAAAACAAAAACAGAGGAAAAAAAAAAAAACGGTAACCTGGTTGCCGAGCACGAAGTGAATTGGCTTGATTTACAACGTCGTTGCCAAGAGACGAAAACCCAATCCCGATGGTAAACACCGAGGGGGGGGCTTGTTTTACAACGTCGTTGCCAAGCGACGAAAACCCAACCCCGATGGCAAACACCGGGGGGGGCTGTACTCATAGTCGTGCATGCCGTAGTCGTTAGACCATTGACCTCGCATCCCTACAAAGCCGGGACGGAGCACGCCGGGTTCTCACCGGACCAGGCTCTCACATCACCAAGCGCGAAGCGCCGTGAGATATTCGGCGAGTCGCATGAAGGGTGCGCTGCATCCTGCTAAGGGTTTTCGGCATCTTGTGCTTACTTCCTTGCGTACGGATGACAGCTACGTATGAAATAATTTATTTTATGGTGCTTTCACTTCCAGAGACAGTTGTAAGCTCTGTGTAACTGCCTCGAGGGTGCTTGACCATTTTAACACAACGTGGTGCGATCATCCCCCTTGCGCGGAGTGAGGGTTCTCCACCCCGCACAACATGATCTACTCGACCACCATTATGGTTACCGCCAAAAAAAAACCGAAGGTAAAAAAAAAAAACGGTAACCTGGTTGCCGAGTTCACGAAGTGAATTGGCTTGTTTTACAACGTCGTTGCCAAGCGACGAAAACCCAACCCCGATGGCAAACACCGAGGGGGGGACACACACAGGGAGGGGGGTAATTTTATAAGGATACTTCCCCGCTTCACGGACACTTTTCAAAATGAAATACTACCAGTGTCCCCCAAAAGCGGGGACGACTGTATTCCCATCAAATGCCAGTCTAAATACCCGCCGCTCATCGCCACGTCTTTCCCCCAAAATCACTCACTAAGTTGCGGTCCCACACCGGCGGGTCCCCCCCCACACACCGGCAGTACGCCGACCACGTCTTGTGGAGGTGCGCCCCCGTGATGGCGAAGCAAGCCTCTCGCCGCCCTGACGTCTGGCCGGCGGGTGCGGGTACGTATCGCAGCCTGTAGGAGGAGTTAGGGTTGGGGCCGGGAACGCGGGCGCCCTTACCCGTCACCGGACGCCAGCCCATGTTTCCTGCGCCGGGTAACGTGGAGATGAGATGTTGTGTTAGCAGTCGGTTATTGTTCTCCGTTCAGCCTGACTTTTCTCAACTCCCAGATTGTCCAGCAGGCCGCACTGTGTACACTGGGTAGGCCGGCGTGCGGTGCAGAACGAGAGATCGAGGAAACGAGCGAGCAACTCGCAACGCCGGGAGTCCCATCATATATCTATCACTGCGGTGCGCCCAGGGTAAAAACAATGAAAAATCGCCCTAGAGTTTGCACAGCCTCCACCACCCCTGACAGGTGCAGGCGGAGGTTAAGCCCGGCAAGGGCAAAGTCTGTGTGACCCTTGAAGAACAAGAAGGCGTCAAGAAACCGTCAACGGTGGCCACGCGAGCACCTGACGCAAACAAATTAAGGCGGTCGTTCGGCACACCATGACAGACATGACAGACATGGCAGCCACTGCCGACGGCTGCTCCGAGGACCAAGGGTAAATAGACACAGAGAGAGAGACGTAACTAGCCAGCTCAGTCTTGTCTTGTCGGGAGAAGGGTTCGTCCCTGGTGATAGAAATGGCTTTCCATTACAACAGGTCCGGCCGGTGAGTCAGCAGGTGCATCGTCCCTCTCACCTTTTGGTGTCGGCACCTCCTCCTCGAGGACAACAACGTGCGATTGCAGCCCGGGAAGCTCTGCCTATCGCCGCCAGCGCGGCGGCGGGCAATGATCGCACGAGTGGGCGGCAGTGGGCATTATGAACAAGCAGAACAACAAGTCAGCGTCACACAGATTCTCCCTGATGCAGAATGGGGAGGGCAGTGGGCGTTACAATCAAGCACAACACGCGACGCAGATTCTCCCTGATGCGATGGTCTCCTAGACAGCGGTTGCCGATCCTCTGTGCAGCGAAATCGATGCACAAGGTGGACCGGAACCGGTTGACGGCATGCGGTTCACCGGCGTGGCATGAGCGACAACCTTTGGAAGGCGAGCAAGGGGGGGAGATCCACGTATGAAAATTCATGCACGCAACATGCCCTTACTCTACAGAAGGACCAAGAACGAGGCTTAGACTCAACACAATCTCAACCAAGCGAGCCCTTGACCGTTAAGAATCTGTGCAAAACAGCTCATACATCACTGACAAGTTACCCACCTACGGCTTAGCCTGCGTCTGAGACGAGCCAAGCACAGGACAGTGCTGCACTCGTTACAATGGATGAAACCCTGTCAAAGAGAAATTGAGACCGACTTTCAGACAAAAGTATGCACGGTGGCGCTACAAGCATTTCCCACCATGTCATGGACGGCTCGCACCTGTAGCATGACTTCCAGCTCGACCGACGCCGCCCTGCAAACGCTCGACAACTCTTGTAACACCCTCTTCGCCTGCGACTGGGACCTCTTGCCCTCTACCAGCTCTTTGACGAGCTTTTCATCGATCTCATTTTCGAGGCTAGGAAACACGGGATCCGGGGGCTGTGAGCGGGAAACAGCGCGGGGAACAACAGGAGGGGGAGAGGAGCGGCACATGGTCATAGATGGTGCAAACGTATGCACATCAACGCAAGTTTTATCGCGAGCCGGGTACGGCATAAAGGGAACCAGCTCAGCGTTTGTTCTTCGCAAACACCTGCAACATACCGTGTTAGACAAGCGGCTACCGGAAAGCACTGCACGCTACCGTCGCGTTTCCGACGAAAGAGGGTGGTGTGATAAGGGCCCTCGACCCTCTTGTGTCCGATCCCCATTTCACACCGGGAAAAGAGGGTACTCAACTACACTGAACTGGGTCGAGTCCGGGACAACCGACTTTGGCCCTCTTATATCGGACCCCCCCCCTTTTGAGGGACAAACCCCCTTTTATCGGAGCCACGAGTGTACAGCAGTGCCTGCCCTTTGCACAGCACGAGAACAAACGACTGCTCACCAACTTTGACGTCCGCGTCGACTCTCCGGAAGCGAGCGCCATCGTCTGCCGCATGTGCTGGACCCACAAAAACCTGGACTCGAGACAAGAGACAGGCCGTCGCCCGGAGCGCAGAGCGAGCGAGAGGTAGCAGTCAGTTACACAACAAGCACGAGCACGGTCCGAGGGCGTGGTGTGCTACACCAGGCCAGTAGCATCACGGGCTGTTTGATAAACCTCTCCTCGCGCGTGATGTACATGTACTAAGGCAGTCCCACGACGAGGAGCATCGGCAAGGGGTCACTAGACGAAACGGGGCAAGCAAGCATCTCCGGACTGCCAATACGAAAGGCCTCACAAAATCAGCAGTCCAAGTAAATCTTGGTGCATTCCTCGAAGCTCGAAGACACTTCCCCGAAGCCAAGAAGTTACCCCGCATGGCGGGCAAACATGGCAACGACCATGGGCAGGCCACCAATTCCGTTACTTGTAGCAACGAACCGCGCACCTCCCAAACATCCCGCTCAAGCCCACCACCATCCCGTCCTCCCTACAGCTGCGGCAGGTCTTGGAGTAGCCGATCATCTTCCCGTACTCCTCGTTCACGTCGGCGAACCTCTGCAGGCAGTCCTTCCTGAGCTCCTCCCTCCGGAGGGACACGGACGGCACGTCTTCCAGCAGCATGTCCGCCGCCGGGGCGATGTCCGAGGGCGACAGCAGCTCCACCCCTCCCGCGATATCCGCATCGACTTCCATGTCGTCCCCCGATGAATCCCCATCGTCATTCGCTGCTGCCCCCGCACGCGGCGGGGGCGGCGGCGGCGGCGGTGGCGGAGCTTCTGTTGAGGCGGCAGCGTTGGCCTTCGCCTTGGCTGCTAGGATTTTCTCCTTCCAGCTCTTGACCTTGTCGTTGCTGGGGGCCGGAACGTCGGAGGACTGCTGCTGCACAAACGGGGACTGCTGTTGCCCACCGGAGGAAGCGGGGGCGGCCGCGGCCGAGGTTGAACTCGAATTGCTTGCTGCTACCGAGGGCGGGAGATCCCACTCCGCCCGGCCCGTGGTCGGCTGGAACCAGTACTTGCGGCCGTACCACTTCGAGGTTTTCTGCACCCATCCGGTGAACCACTCGGACTCGCCGGTGGTGGGGTTGTGTAGAAACAGAGCGCCACCACCTCTCTGCGAAGCGTGGCGTTCCCAACCTGCCCCAAAAAAACGCCCCGTGGCAATAGATAGACGCACGTACATAAGCGGTGGAGAGAAGGTGTAAGACGGGAAAAGAGCCAGGCCACGCGCGCCTCGGGGGGGGGCATGCGGTCCACATGTGCAGCCGGAGTGAACAAAGGGCCACGTCGCCAGAAAAACGTGGCCATATCCGCACAAAGCGCGCGCCTGACCTCGTTTCGGGTGGGCGGTCTATTTCTCCATGGTTTTGACATGCGTGCCTACGTGCCTACCGAAGTAGGTGACACAAGATACCGCACCCCCTGGACCTATTTCCAAAGCTAAAGCTCATATACAGCAGTACTCGACGACGAGGAGGATGAACAAATCACACGATACGTTTTCGGGAGGACCGACAATGTATGAAGACGAGCCGGTTCCAACGCCTCCCGCCATTGTACGGCACCATCGTTCTTTCCGCTGTGGAGTAATCAAGCTTTAAAACTCTGTCTTGAGGGGGAGTGGCAACTTATGTCAACCCTACGGGTACTGATGTTGACCTCTCTAAGGCACGGGACTGTCAGAAAGTTTCACCGCAACTTGTAGCGGTATGCGCTCGTAAGCTCCCTTCGCGAGACAGCCAAGACGAATCTGCAGCAGCTGATCTGCAGCACATCGCCAGTCACAATAATGAAGCTTTGCGGTGTTTCGAACCTTTCGTACCACAGAAGCTCATACGTGCAGGGAAGTCGATACCACTCACGACATACCCAGCCAAGAACCCCACCGGGTGAGCGCGTACCCTCTACCGGATGACATTTGTGCAGCAGTACAATCTGCGCCTGTAAGCCGCTTCCAGCTATGAATTGTACCAGCCGTGAGACACGTAGAACGACTTGCGACGATTTCGACCCTGCTTTGCTGTAGACGGTGTGAAAGGTAGCGCTGCTCAGCGAACGCGCTGTCTCCTCCTCTCTCCTCTCTACACGCAGGCAGCACACCCCAGCGGCTCTATTTGGCTATTTCGAACTGTGCTCGCTGTTGTTGCTGCTGCTGCAGTCTGCAACACATACACAGATACACACACATGGTCCGGACTTAGGGCTTGCACTTCGCACCTGGGGGGTCCTGCCACATGATGTGGAGGAAGCAGGATAACTCCGCTGCAGGGTGTGTGTGTCCGGCGGCAAGCAGTGCATATGAGCGGCGGATTTAAGTACGATAAGCGGCTCCGTGAATCGAGCTGGTACCCACGCCGCGCGTGCCTCGTTGGGCTGCACAGCACACTCAGTACACAGCAGGCACACTTCCCGAGTGTAGAGCAGGTGGAAGTCCCGCCACCATGGGGATACTACAGATGTGTGTACTGCTGGCTGCAGTTTCTCCTGCTTCGTGCTTCTTGACCGGCACGAGAACGTTGGTTCCTTCTCGCATCGCTCCCAGCGCACAGCAGCAGCAGCAGAAGCAGCAGCAGCCCTTGCGGATCAGGAGCACAACAAGCATGGCCGCTCAAGCCGTCGTCTGGCCAGATGAAGTCACCGCTCCATCGCTGGACCAGCCTGTACGAGCAAGCATAGTGGCTGTCGCTCCCGATGGTGTGATGAGCCCTTTCGAAGATCGTGGAACGGCGGTGCCCTGGTTCGAGGTGTGTGCATGAAAATAACAAACCGGCTTTCCGTGCTGCCGTATTCATAGTCGAAATAGTTGAGCCGCACATACATCCCAACAGGTCGACCAACTGATGAAGCAAGATGTGCCAAGTACTCTGTACAGGCAACTGGTGATTCACACGGGAGTCGGGTGCACCAGTGTTGTCCCGCAGGTGCAGAGGACTTGTGCGTTCTGCTGTCTTGGCTGCCGTATGTCTGTTTTCCACACGCTCATGCTCGACGGGTCTCTTGGTCTCTTGGTCTCGGGACTCGGGACTGCTTGCTTGTTCTGCTCCCGCTCGCTGTCTCTCTAGGAGCGCAGTTGTTTGGCTTCGGTGGCGGCACCCGCCTGTTTACGAAGTACTTCTATGCGAAGGTTCGGATTGCGAAGCACAGCAGCTTGCAGTTGAACCGAGATGAATACATCGCATGACCTTGTGTCGATCCCCGAGAGAGAGCCATGTAGCACGTCAACCTCGACTATTAATACTACTATTGCTCCCCTGAAGATACAACCTTGAGACCCGGTCTGACTGGTGCGGCCAATTGGTCAAAAGGCACTGCAGTTGTTGATGCGCAAATGGCGCCATCTTGTACTGGTGATTTTTGGCGCGTTCTCCCTTCGACATACATCTCTCTCGCAGGTGTGGGATCACATCGCCAAGCGAGTCAAGTGGGCGGACCCGGGTGTGGAAATGAAGGTGAGCGGTGGCCGTTTTTCGCATCAGGAGAGTTGGCAACATGTGTCGGGGAATCCTCCGACTTTCGGTACCGTTCTATGGATCGATTCCGCTGTGCCAAAAGCGGCGTAACATGTAGACTGCTGTCTATATGTTTGACTGCGGGCGAGGGCCTGTGTTTCTTTTCTCGAGGCTGTTCCAGCCCAAAGCCGTGGGTAGCTCCACAGCGGCACAACACGATACTTTGACTCAATACCTGCCCCATTGTGTTGCACAGCACAGGTTTTCCGCGAAGAATCGCTGCGCGAGGATAAAGATTCTTTGGGCGAACGGGCGCGGTTCAACGACCTCGCGGCACGCTCCGACGTGTTCGTCGGCTCCGCGATCCAAGACCGTGCCACAGCCGAGTGGATCGCCTCGGTCATCGAGAATGCCGATATAACGACCCGGTTTTCGGCGGGCTGCCCACCGGAGTTGGCTCGCACTTCCCTGGTCGGGAAGTTCCGTCCCGATCCGCCGGCGCCCGCCTTCATGCGAATCCTACCGGACTTTCTGAGGGATTTAATTGGAGGGCCGAACAGCGGCACCAAGAAGGACCGGGTGCTGTGGGACACGCTGAAAAATTTCTACGAGAGGAATTCTTCCGAGGACCTGACTTTCTTATCTCTCGTGCTCGTGGACTCGTGAGTGGTGGGATACCGTTCGTCGGTGTGCGGGCGGTTTATTTGTTAATTTTAGTTGCTTCCGGTGGTAAATTACCACCCGCACGATCATGGGAGTGAAATCTAGCGAGCACCGAAAGGTGGCCGCGAATGCAAGCCTATGTTCAGGCAGAATGTACCTTTTCTTATCCAACCCACGTCCTGTCCTATGGCGCATCGTGGCGTTTTTTTTGTCTGTTCGGAAAGGCGTTCGGTGCTGTGGGAGATTCGCAAACTTCTTTTTCTTCTGCGGTGACAACAGTTAACATAATTCCTTCTTCTCAAAGTCCGCAGCAACCTTGACCTTGGTGCTGTCCTCTGACCCCTTCGGCAAAATGTGACAAGCTAAGCGTGTGGTGAGCGTTCCTCTTGGTCGCTAGCCACATTTTTTTCCAGGCGTAGCTCATGCACGACAACATGCGTGCAGCCTTCGCTGTCTCGCAAGCCCTGAGTTGTTCCTCAAGTTGCACAATCTGCAGCATTTGCCAACGTGGCTCTCTCTCCCTCTCTTTCTCTGTCTCTCCGTCTACCTGCCACCGCCACCGCCCAACAGGTACGTGACGACAGTGCCTCGCGTGACCGGCATTGGGAAGGATTCCAACCCGGACACTGTCGACTGCATGATGGAGAACTGCAAGCAGGAGGTTATCGACTGTGCCAAGGATGCCGACTGCCGAGCATGCCTTTCTTGCCTGACAGCATGTCCTCCTAACGACCAAGTGAGAACTGAGAGACAGAGAGAGAGAGAGAGAGAGAGAGAGAGAGAGAGAGAGAGAGATGAAATAGCACAGAAAGGAGATATCCAGAAGACACCAGCACTTCAGGGCCTCTTATTCTGCCTGAGTCTCGTTTCTTATTTCTCGGTAGGGTCATTAACACCAACAGCGGCCAAATATTTTTTTGTGTTGGATTAATTGTGGAGCGCCTGTCCTTTATGGTCAAGTTCTCAGGTGTCAATTTCTGTTACCCTGAAATTCTTGATTCCCTCCCCGGTTGTTCTTAAGTGGCGGCGCGAATTGTATTGTGCAGAAAGAAGACATTTGTCGATTTTTTCGGCTGCTGCTGTATACCACTTATCTACGCCCACCAAACCGCACCCCGGATGCATGCATGCATTGCTGACAGACATGTTCGTGCCCCGCGCGGAAAAACTACCCGACAGGTCTGCGCCTACCGATGCATCACCTCCTACGAGACCAAGACGATGGAGATGTTCTCGCTCTGCGTGCTGCAGAAGAACAACTGCATGTGCAACTCGGCGGAGATCCCCACCCTCCCAGACCCGCCTGCGCAGGCCACCTTCCGAGGGAAACCCCTAACGCACGAGACTGCACAGGACCTCTTCATGGGGTGGCTGGGGAAGGAGGCCTACTCTTGGAAAGTGGTAAGTGCCTACTCTTGGAAAGTGGTAAGTGCCTACTCTTCGAAAGTGGTGAGTGAAGTGGTGTGTCCCTGGTGCAGCGGGGACCATCTGATGGATAGTGTCGAGAATGGCTGATGGGGAGCGGCTGCTGTTGAGACCCAAGACTCTCTGGTATGCCAAGCTTACGCGGCGACGGCACGCAGATTGATCGTCGAGGACGTCGTGCTTGTTGATGTGTTGATGTTATACTACTGCTGTACTCTACAGTTAGTAATCTCAGATCCCATCATGGCGGGCCTGTTCCTACAGCAGTCTCCGAAGCTTTTCAATTGGTAGTCATGTATCACAGCATTCGTACGTCCAAGCGCCTTGTGGGACAACGCACAAGATACCGTATTTCTGGTTCTCGGCCGGCCGAAACGATCGTTTCGCCGCCGTAGTATCTCAGCAAAACACCCCGCAGTCGCCTTCATCAAATGCTCATCTTTGTCGGCCTGAGTCCTCTCTCATTGCTCATGGCAGGTCTGTGGGCAAAACCCGGCCTATGATTTCTTCCCGAGCCAACACCAGATCTTCTACCGCGGTCGCGGGGAGGGCCAGATGTGGTACGACCCGGTGTTTAAGGTGGTGAAGATAAACGGCGAAGAGGTGAGGCTGGTCGTCTCTCGAGCTGAGTTTCGACGAGGCTGTTGGCGTTTGTATCCCCGACCGTGGTATTGGGCACGTTGTGCCTGCTAGGGCATGTATCCATCGGTGTAAGCGGGCTGCGGTGGTGGCTGAGGGTACCCTTGTAAAACTCGCGTATCGGTGAGGGACCACATGCAATCTTCATCATATCTTCTTCGTGTTGTCGTTTTGAGAGCTGAAGCAGAGTATTCTTGTGTACTTACTATTCATGCGATATTTTATTCACAGACAGCTGCCGCAGAACCCCCGGCGAGTTGTGTGACAACCGGATACTGTAACAATATTGTCTGGTGTGGATCTGCAGTATACAGCATGTTGTATCTTGTCGCATCTTCACGGTTTTACAAGACACAACTATAAATCGCCACTCATGACATTGGGGGCTCTGCTTTTGCACTCTCCTTTTGCAGGTTTGGCGACGACGGCATTACCGCGTCAAGCCGGCGGTAACTCCTGGAACGTTCCGGTTCTCAGTGCTAGACAACGGAGTCGTCTCTAACGAGTACTGGCGAATTATCGACGTTTCGGACGACCTTTCCTGGGGTGAGTGATTGAGTCAGTCATAGAGAGATAGCGTCACAAGAGACATAGCGCGATAGGGTAATGAGAGTCATGGAGTATTCTGTGCGATTGTGTCACAAGAGTCATGGAGTGATTTGAGTGGTAGAGTGATTGAGTGACGGCATGATAGCGGTGCTTCTCTCTTTTCCATTAGCCTCTGGGCTTCAAGTACTGCCCGTATCTGCTCCGTGCCTATTGAGCTTCCCCTGTACCATATGAAGACCGACTGCAAACAATCGGTACGGTTCGGTTTTCCCGCGGTGCTTCGTGAGACCGATCGACACGTTGACCACCTACCTACACGCTGATCCGGCTTGTATTTCTTGGCCGCCTGTGCACGGCAGGCGTGTTCTACTACGCCGGTGCTGCTACGGCAGCGGGGCAGTCGTATACGGGATCGCTACTCGTGTCGCGTGACGGCAATTGGCCAGAGGACAACGAGATGGAGCGCGTGGAGAAAGCTTTTGACTCCTGCGGGATCAAGCTGTGGGAGATGTTCCCGGTGGGTGTAGGGTGGGCGCCACGATGCC